GAACATAAGTGACAGATGTCCCTTATGCCGGAATGACTTTCAGGCCATTTCATTGTAATTTTATTAGGGGAGGAGGAAAAACAGTTACAGAGCAAAAGCAAAACACAAGATTGTATCCAGTGGATTTCAAATTAATCTGCTAGTGTCAGACTGCTTGTTTCATTCAGTTGGTCCAGACTAAAAATACAGAAGAAGGAGATAAAGAATTGACTCTCAGTATAAAAAGGGAGACAGCAGTTCCAGCACTTAAAAAGCATTACATTTTTACAGTTTCTAAGATCAATGAGCACACTTGGGAAAACAGACTGGGAAAGCACTTTGCTGAAGCAAGGAGCAAGCAGGCTTCTTTGCCAGCTGTTTTACTCCATACTCAATGTCCACACCTGGCTGAAAGTTGCCAGAGGGGTCTCACATTCACAATTTCTAATAAACAGTAGACCTTATGTCCACACGATGCCACAGAAGCTGTCTGTATGAACTTCTCCTGGTTCAAAAGGTGCTAGAGAAAATTACGGAGGCTTGGTCCTGAGGGGGCTATCCTGTGCCACATCCTGGATACAACTGCAAGAGGTGATGCTTTCATCCCATGAGAGCTAAAAGTGAGGAGAGTGTTTCACAGACAAGAACGCTGCAGGCTTAAACTTTGTCTTATCTGTTTCATTAGGGATTGTGTGCTGGTCACTGTGAGAGTCAGCGTGCTGGTCTGCATGGACTTTTCACCACTGAATCATTGAATGTGCTGAGTTGGAAGGGACCCACAAGGATCATCAAAGTCCAACTCCTGGCCCTGCACAGGACAGTCCCAAGAGTCACACCATGTGCCTCAGAGTGTTGTATGAGTGCTTCTTGAACTCTGCCAGGCTGGTGCTGTGATCACTGCCCTGGGGAGCTGTTCCACTGCCCAAACACCCTCTGGGTGAAGAACCTTTTCCTAATATCCAATGTAAACCTCCCCTGTCACAGCTTCATGCCACTCATAAATTTGAATGATATGTGGCATTTGGAATTTCTTCCAATATAAAAATTTCAGAGGGCTATTTTTGTCAAACCCAGCGTTTCGTATTTTGAATGTTGTATTATATTTTGTAAGGTTTTTTTTCCTTAATAAAAGTATTTTATGTCTAAAATTACTGGGAAAAAACATTAACTCACATATATAAATCAAAGTAATATTTTTGCCAGAACACATTTTGCTGAACTATAGACTGGGAAGTTATGATTTTAATAAAATATTCAAAGAAAATACATTCCATCAGAAAAAAAAAGTCTGGACATCTCCAGTAATGCAATTTTAGGTGCCAGCTTTATTCTTAGACAATTTCTAAAGTGCTCAGAGGCCTAAGTCGAAGCCAATGAGTATCCTTACAAAAACTGGTTTATTTCAAATGTGGAAAGGAGCTGTTAGTCTGAGCTGAAGAGCAGCAACACAAGGAAAACACAGCTGCACAGCATATGGCAGGGAACCTGAAACCCAGTTTCACAAATGTGGTGCCACGAACTGGTGGGCACCAGAAGTGCTGGCAGGGCTCACCCTGCCAATTCGTGCACCAGGAGGGCTGGCTCTGGAGCGAGGTCTCAGGGACAGGGGGTCCCTGCGAGGGCAGCCCCATCTCCTCTCCACCTGCCCAGCACTCGTGGCATGGGGGGCACGTGAGGAAAATGTGCCAGAAGAGTGAAAGCAGGAGAGTCATTCCTTGTGCTCCCATTCAGCTAAAAATTGAAGCAGCTCCAGCCACCTCACTATACTGTCAAGGAGAGGAGTATTTATGTCATGTCACAGACAGCCTTGTTCATTAGTACAGTCAGATGTACCTGTTGGGAGCTTCCAGCCCTGCCTGGTCTGGAAAGGGTGGAAAGGGTGGAAAGGGTGGAAAGGAAAGGGTGGGGAACACCTGCCTGCACACCTCACTGCTGGCTTATCAGCTCCCTCACATGCCAGCACCTGCACCTCAGTGAGTGGGCTTGACATGGATTTCAGAGCATCACACGAGTTCAGACTTAGCCCTCTTAATGTAATTTCTTAGCCCATTTGTGACTCCACTAACATTCACTGAACTTCTGTGAAGTACAGTTGTATTAACCATGTGTGAAGCCATAAGACATCAATCCCAAATGCTTGTGACAATAAATTTATTTTTTATTGTTGCAATAAATAATAGCTCCAATAGAGAGGTATAGAATGAGTTTCCTTAAAGAGGGTAAACAGCAAACATTGTGACCTTGTTACATTGTAACCTTGTTATCTTGGGACAACACTCAAAATTTGGAAAATCTGACTGGATGCTAGAGGTCTCTAGTTAAACACACACAAAATAAATTTTTTAAAAAAATTAAAGTGAAATGTGAAAAACAACAGAATGTTTGTATAATAAGTAAAGCAATAGGGCCCTTCAACATCTGGGTAGTACCATACCATAAGAAAAAACCCAATAATAAGCATTTAGTTGCATGGGAAAACTTACTTTCATCTGAACACAGAGCTGGTGTCAGGACTAAATGAAAACTGTTTTCTTATTCTGCCTTTTTCACTGCCAGTCCGAAAAAAAGATATGATTTATGCATTGAAAAAAAAAAATTAAACATTTTTTAAAGTGAGGCTGGAACGTCCTCTGTTCATTGCAAAGCCTTCGAATTTTTAATTTTTTTTAATGCAATAAGACCTCTGAACAGCTCCAACACTGCAGCAGAGTTGTCTGAGTCACATGCCTACAGCTGCCATTTAAGGTAACCAAGCCTGAAAAGTGTCAGTTATTGCAGAGTCAGATTTTTTATATTTTTTGTTGAGATAAATAGCTGTAAGTGGGATGCAATTCCATTATGAACTGAATAGAGGTGTGTGGCAGAGAAATAGGGAAATGTCTAAGTCAGTTACCGGCAACTTTTAAGCAGGTCATGCTTACAGCTATTGATCTACCTGCCCAATATTCAACTTCCAAACAAGTGCTGGCAAATTGAAAAGAATTCCAAAATGAGCTAAATGAGTGGCATAGCTATGGGAAAATAATACAGCATGCAGTTCCCAAGGCTCAGTCTACTTTTTTTATCCAGAAAGGACTTGAGCATGACATAAACTGTATTGCTATGTCCCTCCTCTCAAAATCTATGCAAGCAAGTCAACCACATCCTATGAATCTGTGCAACTTCTTTTTTAATTTAATTTTTTTTAAAAGGCAATATCTAGCAAAATGCATCATATGCTGAGCTTTTTTCAACTATTCTCAAGCAAAACTTTTTTAAAGTGCTTATCAAATGAGTGAAACAGAAGAAAATACCTCTTCAGATAAACTGATGTTCTCAAATTAATTCCTGTGCCTGCAGCACAACAGCTCCCCTGCACCTCACCATCACCTTTTTGCCTCTTATTCACACCTTACTCTTCAATATATAATTTTTCCTCCTAATTGCTGTCAGGCAAAGGATTTCCTTTGCTGCCATCCCCTTCCATCTGCTTGTCTGGTGTTAGTTCTGCCTTATCTAAAATCCTGCCTCCAGCCAGCCTGCCATTTCTCCTGAAAAGCAAGCCACAAGTATATGAAACCTGTCCAGGTAAGAAAATATTTTGAGTGTTTAACTTAAATAGGGAAAAAGGCTTTGAAAGTCTCCTTCCCCTACCTAAACCTTCTTCCTCTTCAGAGGGATTTACAGCAGGTTCATGAAGAGCAGAAGACAGTTGAAGAGCTGGGACTGTCCTGGGAGAGGGGAAGGTTTCTGAGAGGGATAGGTGCTTTCTGTATGAAGTATCAGGAAACCAGACTCTTGCAAAGGAGAAACAAGTGTGTTATAGGGCAGCTCAGAGCCAACACCTCCACCCCTTTCACACCTCATTTCCTTCTAGTAATTAAAGGCTAGGGTGACACTGAGGACAGATTCTGATAAATAAACTCCCTTTTGGTTTTAAGAAGGTTGAATCACATCAACTAATACAAAATGAAAAGCACTAGTTTGTTTCTCTTGGGGAAACATGTTGTTTCCAGAGGAGAATGCACCAGACATATGCTTTTTGGTGCCCAAGTAGAGTGCCAAAGAGAAGCTAGAAATATTGCTGCTGCAGGAAGTAACTACATTTTGAATGGTCATAGAATCATAGAACCACAGAATGCTTTGGGTCGGAAAGGACCTTAAAGATCATCCAGTTCCACTTAGGGCAGCAGTATTTCCCAGGCAACCACATGGACTTTCAAGCCTTTGAGCAAGTTTTGATGTTAGCATTAAGACAAGTACTTTGGTGCATAAAACCTAGAACCCTACTTCACACCAAAAAGCCTTCCTGTAATTCAAGGATAGGCATTGAGAAAAATTCCATCCAACCATTGGAGAACTCCACACTAAAGACATGTTCTCAGCTTACTCAGCTCAATGCACTGAATTCAACATAGGGCTCACTGGTTGAGGTAGCTCTCTCCTAAAACACTGAGGAAAGAGGCAGTGTAGGAGGACAAGTGCCTGTTTGAATGACTGGAACACAATAAAACAGGCATAAGTGATATTGAGTACCACTTGCAGCTCTGGCTTGCTTGAGTGCAGGGTGAGAGGTAAGAAGAAACCTATAGGAAAGCAGCATTCCAAAAGAGGGAAATAAGATATAGTAAAGTGGCAATGAGAAACTTCCAGTGAGGATCTTTCAGAATAAATACTTAAAGCCAGTCCCTAGTAAATGGCTTAAAAGCTATTCTTATCATAATATAGCTGGAGTGAAACTTAGGATTAGATACAGGTATTTTGTAAATTTCCTCACCCTTTTATTCAAGCTGTACTGTTCAAACCCATGGGACAGAATTTTCTGAATGGAAATGTCATGATTTGCTACAACTTCACAGGCAAATCATATACATAATCCAGGAAAATATTCACTTGGCTGGGAAGTATCACTTAGCCCTTGTTTGCAAGGCATGAGTGAGCTTTCCAGAGTACACAGGACTTGGGCTGCTTTTCTTCTGAGCAAAAAGTCCTTTCCCACAACACACATATAAGCACATTCATTTCCAAATTAAGATTCTTACCTTATCTTTACTTTCAGAGTCAGAATCCTCAAGTTTGGTCCGAATGACAAAGGGTGTAGATAACCTCAGGAGAACTCGTTCAAATGTGGCACTGATTTTAGGAGAGACTATGTCAAAGCAGTCTTGGAATTTCAGGGTTTTATGAGTGTCACATCTGAGCTGCTTCCTAAGACCTTCTCCAAGCTGGAGAACCAGCATGTTTGGATCAAACATCAGGTGAAAGGGGAAAGCTCTGCAGAAGGTGCTGATACTAATCCTCAGGTCTAAGGGGGACTGGGAAGTTCCAGGTGGAAGTGCTTTTGTGGTATTTGCATTTTCATGTTCTTTGATAAGGAAAGTCAAACAACTGCAGTTACCTGGGTTTGTCCCCTCTGAACACAACTTATCATTTGTGACCTGTTCTACTTCTACGTCCAAGCGGTAAATCTTCTTTGCTGCTGCTTTTATCATTCCTGTCATTGCAAATCCCACAATCTGATGTGGGTGAAAATAATGAAGCATGAGATTGCCATCAGGGAGTTCTTTGCATAGGAAAGAAGGAGATTCCAGGGTGGCCTGTCTTCCAAATGAAGTTCTAATATGCTCCAGCAAAGCATCAAAGCCATTGAAGAAGTCTTGAAGGGTCCCACCTACAGCTCGAAGAACTCTTTCATTCTCGTCAAAGCAGATATTGAAGAATTCCTCCCCAAACTTTTCTTGCATTTCCTCAAACTTCAGACCTATAGGACAATGAGACACTGATATCAACAACATAGCATTGTTACTGTGTCACATTTTCCCTTTTTCCTCTATTTGCCCAGTATTTTTCCAAACAGGGAGGGAAGCTTTTTCACTAGATACCTATGCATAGGTTACTGTGGTGGTTGGGAATAACCCTAGAAATCATTTTTAAAGTCCTCATTCATTCAGCTTGCTGTCCCAGCCAGTTATCCCAGTGGGCCTGTTTCCTTTTCCCCACTGGCAGCCAGTCTCAATTACAATTTCCCAGACCCTTGCAGGTCACATCCTGACCACTGTGTGAATGCACCCAGGCATGGCTGCATCCCTTCAATTGCTGACCTGGCTACAAATGAGGCTTCCACTCCTACAGCCCCTCTGTTCACTCCCTCTGTAAAGCATCCAGCTCTCCCCAGCTGCCTAAAGAATAAGATACTGGGACTCAGAGTCACTTGTTTGGCTTTCCATCCACAATGTAAAGCCTTGCAGTCAGATTACACTTATAATAGCTGGCAAAGCCAGAGTGAGTTTTGCAGGTTTTTTAGCCAAAATACTTTTCTCATTATAGGCATTGGGCACTGCCACAAGATACAAAGAAATAATTAATACCTCGTTTTTGTTGCCTGCAAAGGAGAACAAAGCCTTTTCATTTTAAGCTCCTACCTACACTCATCCATCTTTAAAAAAATCCTGCCTCTTAAAAGCAGTCTACATAGCTAGTAGATGGGACAGCTCTGTGATATCTCACAATGTCACTTCAAGTTTCTATCACATAAATTCAAAAGGTTTTCATTTACAGAGGTGATAAGGCTGGCATTGCTGAAGGGATGAAAAAATCCGAGTAATGGAAATTTGTATCAAATCCTGTTTCAGTTTGTTATTTACAGTTTTAAGTATAACCTACAAAAAATATTTTTGAGATGGTTACTAAGCATTTTCCTCTGTCTTATTTCGAGGAAGATACACTTTTATTATTATTATAATCCCCACATCATAGTAGCTATAAAATTAATCAAATGTTTGTATTAAGATGTAACAGAATAAAAAGAAGCATATATCAGCTCTATGGGAATTACAAATATCCAGAGTTCAAAATAAATTAATATAGAAATTAACAACATAGTTTCTTCACTACATTGAAATCATATGGAATTATACGTCACTCAACTAGTCACACACCTTAAAATTTATATTGAATTTGAACAGAAATGATGGTCAGTTATTTCTTTCCTGAGGGCACCACAGGCCCTTTATTTTAATGGGTATTCAGTATGCTTTATATAACATTGGTAATATCCCAGCAGATCACTGAACTTCTCATTGTTTAGATTACTTCTAGGCTTTTAGTTTGGGAAAAACAGAGTGGTTAGTGACTTTTATACCTGAGGTATAACAGGGGACAGAAGTCATGCTGTTTGCAGACAATAACCTTTAATAATCTCAAGGCAGTGTCTGAACTGCCTATATACATAGGCACAGTTAATATAATCAATATTCACAAGGGATTTCAGTGTTCCCCAGCTTTACAGTCTGCAATGACATATGATTAATAGCAAATTAAAATGCATAAAATTGCATATATAAATATGACAACATAAGAATATGACAAAGCATATTTTATAAAAGAAGTAATAGCAATAACTTGGGAAAGTTCATTCAAATGCCATTACTCATAAAGAAATTTGGTCACTAAACTAGGTTATTTCAAAAATATTCCCAGGATCTTTTATGACCACAGATGGTCAGCTCTGCAGCTAAGCCAAAAGAAAGTACCTCTGGTACACAATGCCCCCTAATATCCTGACTCAGAAGACTGTGTGCCAATTCCTGACTCATTACCATTACATCTCATAAGATGGTATTGTAATATCTTACCAAAAAATACTCACTATAACCCAAAAAGAATTAAACTCTAACCCATACCAATAATGTAATAACTGGATATAAATAGCAAATAGCTAAGAAATCATCATATTCATTTACACAAACAGATATTCATACTTTTAAATCTCATTGTTCTGTATAGTGAAGTGTGAGCAACTTTAGAAGTCTGTGTGTAAAAAAGAGCAATATAGCAGGGGCACCCAAGGCTGTAAGATTGCAGAGGGGAAGAGGACAGCATCAGAAATCCCTGGGCTATTCATACAATGGCCAAATACATTCCACAAAGCTGCCCAAAGGACAGCACAGGTGAACTGCCTTTCAAGTGTATTACAGAAACACAGTGGAACTGCTCCCTGGTGCCACTGACTGCAAAGGAGGTTTGAAGAACTGATCACTCCTGGACTCTGCTGCCTGAGGTTTTGCTGATTGTCATAGATTGGTCTTCCTGTCCACCCTGGAGAACTGGCCATTCAGGCTGGATGCAACATACTGACCCCAGGCAACATGAATTATACCATGAAATTCAGGTACATGACCTGGCTCGAGGATGTGCCACTGCTTTTAAAAGCATTTGAGCTTTGAATTGAGTTACACACAGTACCAGCAGAAAATCAGATCAGCTCTAATAGAAAATGACCAAACTCAACCAAACTGCTGGCCTGTGTTAGTCACAAATTTTCTCAACAAGAACAGACACTATAATATACTAAGAAAATTAAACTAAGTCAAGCAACCTTCAAAACCAAAAATCATAACGTTCCTATCAAGGAAGTTTCTTCCTTAGCCTTGCCAACAAGACATTAATTTTTGCATGAAGCATGATGTTTATCTTTGAATTAAAAATATTTCTTTAATAAATTCCTATTACACAAACACACGGACTAAATTTTTCTGTATTTCTCTGTAAAGCCATTGGCTTTCAGTGATGTCTTTGTGTAAAGTTGCACAAAATATTTAATATGCATTTTTACTCTATTTTTACCATTTATTTTGCCTCTCTTATTGAAACAAATGATGAACAGATGCTCACCTAGCACTAATTCTGTCTATACTTCAGTATAACATTTTCACTTGCTACCATATAAATGATCCTAATCTTTTGCACGTCTTCTGTGGATTTTCTCCCTACCCATATTTCTACACGTAGCTGTTGTCATTTAAACCCAGCTGGCAAGTAAACACCACACAGCCACCTGCTCAGCCCCCCACCCCTGTGGCATGGGGAGGAGAATCAAAAGGAAAACTTGTAGGTTGAGATAAGAACAGTTTAATAACTCAAACAAAAGGAAAACAACAATAAGAAGAAGAAGAATAGTAATAAAATCAAAAATAAAAACCCACTCAGTAAGACAAGTGATGCCCAATGCAATTGTTCACCACCAATGCCAGTCCCTGTCGTTGTCCAGGTCACTCCCCCAGTTTACATACTGGGCATGACATTCTAATGGTGTGGAATGTCCCTTTGGCCAGTTTGGGTCTCAGCTGTGCTCCCTCCCAGCTTTCTTGTGCCTCTCCTCATTGGCAGACATGAGACACAAAAAAAGTCCTTGGCTTAGGATAAACTCTACTTAGCAACAACCAAAACATCAGTAAGTTATCAACATTATTCTCATACTGAATCCAAAACACAGCAGTGTACCAGCTACTGAGGAGAAATTAACTCTATTCCAGAGAAATCCAGGACAATACCAGACTGGGAGATAGTTTTATTACAAGTAGAAAAACCTTCATGCAAAAAAAAAAAAAAAATCCCAGAACTCATTGCCTCTATAGCGAATTCTTTATTATATTTGGAGACTTCCACAAGCTAGTTGTTATCTTTAAATATTATATTCGTTATTATTTTCAATTTCAACATATATGGTAGTTCTTGTTTTTTTTCTTTCATGCTGAGAAAAGGCAAACAAAATCAAAATAATCTTATAACTTTCAGATTATGCATCTACACAAAAAGTCCAATTTTTTCAAACTCATCTCAAATTCATTGTTGAAACTGTTCATTTATTTTTCTGTTTGGATTTGCAATGGAACAATTCAAATTGAATATGGCATTGAAAATGTGAATCAACTTCTGTTCACCAAAACTGACAATTTGCTATTCTATTCTAAAAATCCAGCATTTCCATTGTTTCTTTTTCACTGTGGACCTCCAAGCAAAATTTTCATTCAGCTTCCCAAGGAAAAAAAAATTGGTATCTGTATGAGGGCCCAGCACTTCCAAATGCAGAGGTCACTGCACTCCCTTATCACCTCATGTATGACCCCAACACAGCTTCCTAATGAGCACTGGCTTGCAATTAATACAGAGGAAAAGTCTTCCTTGGTTTCACCAATACACTCCACCAAATGGTAGTAATACAAAATAAATCAAAAATCATTCCATCACTCTCTGCTGCTCCTCAACTGAAGTAACTCATCATTTTGAGTTCCTGCTCTTTACAAACCTTCTACTAACAAAGCAAATGAAGTTCTAAAAATTCATTAGTCTCAATTTGCTTTCCTCCTGGAGAGGGATCTACTGTGTTCCTACTACTTAATCTATGTCAAGAGGACAAATCACATCTTAACTTTGATGTTTTTTTCCTTAGTAGTTTCTTTTTGTTGGTTTTCCTTACAATGTCACTTTTATTCTAGTCCATATGGGAGAGAAATTAAATAAGCACATGGGAAATTGAGGCAAAGCAACCACAGAATGAAAATATTGCTATAGACCTCCAAAAGCACTTTTGGATCTGTGAAAAAATATTATTCTTTGAAAATGTGTCTCAAAGACATTAAGAGAAGGGATCCTATATTTGCTAGCCAGATCCAAAATTACCAAAGTCTTTAAACACAGGTTCAAAGTACAAATTAAGTATTTCATGAACTGGAGCAGAAATAGATTACTTCATCCTGTAATAACATGCTAGCAAAAGGTCTTCACTTTCTTTTCAGCAGTTAATGTAAACTGAAAACACACTGCAAAATGTCAAGGAATTAATACAATATTTTTAAGTATTTTGTACATTATGAAGTGGAGAAACTAGGTAAGAATCTGTTCCCATAAAGAAAATTGTAAATCATAGCTCTTGAGAAACAATCAGAAGATTTAAAAAATGGATGTGATAAAAAAATATGA